TAATCACTGAAAATAGTGAGAAATTCATCAATGAGACCAAAGGTGTCCTTTATTAGAAGTTCAAGGTGAAGGATCTTGGTGATCTCAAGAATTGAAGTTATGAGATCCAAAGAAGGGATTCTATTGAATCAGAGGAAATACTATCTTCAACTCATCTCTGATTTAGGATTGAGTGTTGCTAAGCCAGTCTCAACTCCCATAGATCTCAACCAGAAGTTCACTTCTACTGAGTTTGACAGACACACTGGCACTACAAGTGATGAAATCCTGACAGATGTGGGTGAATACCAAAGGTTGATTGGTAGGTTGATCTATTTGACTATTACACGACCAGACATTGTGTTTGCAGTCCAAACTCTCAGTCAGTTCATGCAATAACCCATAAAATCTCATTGGGATACTGCTATGAGAGTAGTCAAATACCTAAAACATGAACCATGCATGGGGATAATTCTGAGTAGTGCAGGTGCAGATAGTTTGACATATTTTTGTGATGCAGATTGGGCAAGTTATCCAAACACACGAAGTTCAGTAACTGGGTACTTAGTCAACTTTGACAACTCACTCATCTCTTAGAAATCTAAGAAGCATCATACAGTGTCAAGAAGCTGTGCAGAAGCAGAGTATAGAAGCCTAGCAGTAGCAGAAGTAGTCTGGTTATTAGGATTGTTTGCTGAACTTGGAGTGCCTATCAAGCGACCTCTGGAGGTTTATTGTGATAGCAAGCTGCTCTCCAAATTGCAGCCAATCCTATCTTCCATAAGCGCACCAAACATATTGAGATCGATTACTATTTTGTGCATGACAAAATCAAACAAGGTGTACTTAGCACACAGTTTGTGGGGACTAAAGATCAGCTAGCTGATCTTCTCACTAAAGGTCTTGGACAGTCTCAGCATACATTTCTACTAGGCAAGCTTGGAGTGCTCAACATCTTGCACCCTCCAGCTTGAGAGGGAGTGTGAACTATTAGTCAGTTTTGTTAGTTAGAAGATGAGCTCGTTAGTCGGTAATAGTTATGGGACTCGGTAGTTAAGTAATTAGTTAAGTTAGTACAGAATTGAATTAGTGTGTAATTGTACATAAAGTTGTACTCATATATTACAAAACAACAGATTTTCATTTCGGTGTAATTCATCTTTTCTCTCTTAAGCTCAACCTTTCTACTCTCAAACCTAATTACAAATTGCTTGGATGATTCTGGAAATTAAACTTAGATTCATCAAGCTCACAAATCTCATCATGATTCATGAGTAATTGGCAGTTTGGCACATACCCTTCTCTCTTTCCTAATTTAAACTATTTAATGTAATATCTTCCACATATTATGGCTCTAAATTTGGGTTATCCCCCACCCTTCTTCATTATTTATTAATTTCTTTGAATAAATATTGAGATATGTGGTGTAACCAGCAATATAATCATTCTGAAACATTTAAGTTTTTGTTTGAATATTACACATGGGCATGTAATTTGTTATTTGTTCACATACATTATTGCGGGGATGAGATATTTTCCAAGGGGGAGAGAGATTAGTTTTTGAGTATAGCACTTGTTGATCGAGATTGAAAAAAAAGGCTTTAGGTCGAATTGAATTAATGTTATTTCTAGCGAGTTTATTAGATTGAACTATTGAAAATAGGTGAACAAAGTTATTTTTCTTTCTTTTGTATCGGAAAAGTCATTTATCTTTTTTTATTTTACTCTAGAGACTATTTTTCTTTCTTTTGTATAAGGACAATCGCTAATCTTTTTTATTTCATTCAAAAGGTCATTCAAGTCGAAGAATAATACATCCAGCCACGTTTTAATAACACGGTTCCCATTTTTAAGGCAAAAAAATAGTAATTATTATGCTCCAACTCTTTTTAACCAAAAATCTCCCATTTGACTCTTAATTAGAATATAATATGTTAGATTATTTAACTTAGATCACTTAACTGTGAGTAAATAAGCTCTTGCGAAAAATAATTAGGTCACTAGACCAACACGTGGTACATTTCATAAAAGTATAATTACTACTTATATTGTATCAATTATGTATATTTCTTGTGAAAGATACTTTTCAAAAGTCCAAAACCATCACAGATGGTGCTTCCAAAATCTTTGTATTTAAGCCTTTATTATTGTTGGACAGATAAAGAGATCCCTTTATTTAGCATATAAAGGGATTTTAGGGCCAAGTATTGGGTCGAAAAGGAAGTTCTGGTTAAGATGAATTGGGTTTGATATTTTCTCTTTTTTGCTTATAAAATCAGGTGCCACGTCATTAAAAAGTGGCATGGTATATCACTTTCCGGCTTGAGTGACCTTTTTTGTGAAATAACAAAAGATAAGTAATATTTCTGATATAAAAGAAAGAAAATTTACCTTTTGAGTGAAATAGTAAAGGATTAGTGATTGTTCTGATACCAAAAAAATGACTTTATTCATCTATTTCCAATAGCTTAGTGACCTTCTAAGTAATAAATTCTATTTCTAGCATAGAAGATCAAATACTTTTTTTCTCATGATAAATATAAGTTTATTCAACTTCGATCTAACTAAAATACCTTAATAAAAGATCATCAAATGTTACAAAATTTAAATATAACTTTACTAATAGAAGATTTAACCTAAATAGCCGTCCATCCAAACACTTAAACTAAAAATAGTCGTTGGAGATATAATATATGCGTAATTTATGTATTATATGTGTATAATTGTGTATTATCAATGGATAATCTATGTATATTGCTAGAAAAAGTAAACAATGATTATGGACGACTATTTGTATAAAGATCCCTTACTAATATTTTAAATAAAAGAAAAGTTAAGTATACGTGTGCAACGGTCCATGGCTTGAAAAATGTCGGTTGCAGGACGGGTATTTACATAAATAAAACTTTAATCTGTTTGGATAATGTTAATTATCGATGTGTAAGTGACAAAGAAATTCAAGAAAATAAATAAATAAATAAAGACAAAGATATTCCGATGCTGGTCTTAGGAAATGAATCTACAATGGTGGTCGGTTTAATCCTAACAAATAAAGTAGCTTACGTGGATGAAGTAGTTGTTTAACGATTATATATTTAAATAAATAAATAAAACCTAATCAATATGTATTAGGTAAGACTGCAATTACAATTATGGAGATGATGTGGGATTGAAGCTACACTTCGCACGTTTTAGCTGAGTTTATTGATTGATGAATAATGTCATCTAAGTAGTCCATTCTTATTTCTCCACGTATGCATAATAAATAGAAAAATAACTTTTTTTGATGATTGGAGTTTAGACAAGTTCTATTATGGGAGGGTTAGGATATCGATTAATTAGTTGTAATAACACGTACTTCAGTACTTGTGAATTGCGATCAATTAACTGCACATGTGCCTTACTGAATTTGAATCTCTCTCTCACACACACTGTCTCTCTCTCCCTAGTTTTATTGTTAAATGTTTTGGTTTTAGTTAATTTAAACCATTAGAGATTGGTTTATGTAGGTACGTGGCTCTTCTATTGCAAATCCACCCCATGAAATAGGAGTAGCAGGCTTGAAGCCAGTAAGAAGAAGATGAGGGAGAGGTGTTGAAATCTACAGTCCTAATGAGAGGAACTTTTATTGATAACACAAAAGAAAGCTATTACATGATAGTAACTCAACGTATAGTCCCAGTTCCATATATATCTTCCTTTAGTTCATTAAGGATAAAGGGGGTGGGTATACAAAAACCATAACATTTCTTCCCATTTTTGGATCACTGCCTTTCCCATAGCAGGCCAGTTTATCAGCTGCAGCATTAGCTTCTCTAATAGGTGCATGCAGTCCATTAACATGTGTGAGATAGCTAGATTATTAGACGATAACATTTGGACCAATACCTGTGAGTTTCCACAATAAGTGTGATTGAGTGCTAGCCTTAGACCATTGTAAAAGGCTAGTATTTCCATATGAATGGCAGTGTGAGTGTGAGTGTAGTTGTAAATTGCATAACCAATAATCCAATCACCATTGTGGTTTCGGATAAGTCCACCACCCCCTCTTGCTTTGATGTATTCGATCATCATAAGCGCCGTCTGTATTAAGTTTGAAGAAACCCTTTGGAGGTGGTTGCCATCGAATTGTTTTATTTTGGTAAGGGCTTTTTTTGTGGTAGTTATGTACTAAGTGGAAATACTCCATAGTTTGAAAAATTATGTCAGTATGTGTTATTTGATTAGTAGAGTTCCGGAGATCCTATTGGTTTGGTTTGATTTTAACTAAAAAAAGTCAATTGAAATCAAACCAATCCGACATTATATATATATATATATAATAANCCGACATTATATATATATATATATATATATATATAATAATTTAGATATATTTAATATATAAATATACTTATTGTGATGTAATTTATAAATATTTCTTAAACTTTTTCAAAATTTTATCATTTAAGGTATTGTTTCAAGGTTGGACTTAGAACTTTTGAATGTTTCAATAAGTTTTATAGTCATTAATATTAGTAACTTAAATAAGGGATAAATGAAGCTAACAAAAGTCCAAACCAAAACCAAATCAATACTAATGCTAATAAAAGACATTCATTTCAATACTACAAACGACAATGTATTGAATATCTATTTTTTGTTTTGCAATAATTTAGATAAAAATACATAACCTATTTTTATTTTTTCTTTAGCGTTTAGTCATGTAATTAATAATCCCTTATTAGTCTACTTATTTTCGCATGACTTAGTACTTTTAGATTATGTTTATTTTTATTATTGCTTTTTAATTAGCAATATTTATATTACATAATTTTATTGTCTTTATTGTTAAATATTTTAGGATAATTTCATGACACATCTTATATTTTGTATTATTTTCTTGGAAAATACCTTATATAGTTGTATCTTACGGATTAAAGAAATATTTTGAGCACAAGTTACATATTTTGTCCTACAAAGATTTAACCGGAAAAACAAGAAAAACAGAGATTGAAAAACCTGAGTTTTATTGGTTTGGTCTTTAGATTTAATAACCCGACACAATTGGTTTGATTTGGTAATTGCAAAATCCAAACATACCCGACCTATAGATTGTACCTACTAATCCAATTATACAACTAGGAGAGGCGTCCAAATATCCATCACATAGTCCCATCTTGTAGTGAAGAAGCAAGTATTTTCGCCGAATGGCCTTTTTAAGGCTTCGTGTTTAACTTTTGTAATAAGTACATGTTAATAGAAGTAGCCGGTATAGGTCTCTGCCGGAATTTCTCCTCATCCTCCTTCGTACTCTACTTCTCCTTCTTCCTCTTTCTCATTCTTCTTCTAACAATAAATTATGAGCACACAATTAAAATTGTAAAAAATTGAAGACGTATGTGATTATAATCGGATGGTAATTCCATTGAACTTATAAGTTGATTTGGTTTGGTTGAAAAAAATGTTGGGAATAAACCTCTTACCAAAATAATATTCACGGTAATAAAGCGGAATAATAATGTAGCACCGAGATACGGTAATTAACAATAATAAAAGAGTAATAATGACACCAAGATTTTTACGTGGAAAACCCTTCTGAATAAGGGAAAAAACCACGACCCCGAGAGGAGCAACTGATATCACTATAATAAGGAATTTTACACTTTGTAGGTCGGAGATAAATACTCCAAAGACCACTACAACACTCAAAAGAAATAACCCTCTTTTGATATTCCCACCTCACTACAATATCGCTCACTCTCTATTTTCCTCACAGACTATTTTCTTATACCTTGTCTGTGAAACCTCACTCTTTCTTTCTCTCTTTGTTGGTGTGTAGAAATGAGAGTTGAAGCTCTCCTTTTATAGCCAAAGCTTCACCCTCTAAAGCCTACAATATTTGACAATTTACACACACTTTTCACAATTCAACAAAGTTGGCTACCAAACCAAAGAAATTCAACAAGGTTGGCTACCAAACCAAACTAATTCAACAAGGTTGGCTACCAACCAAACCAAGTCAACAAGGTTGGCTACCAAACCAAAGAAAACTCTTATTAGGCACATGCCTAATACTTCTTCAATGAGATGGACATCATCAATTTCCCCCTCCAGTCTCATTCATCCAGAGGAGGTAGCACTGTCTTCTAGTTTGAATGCATGCCGACAAGTTCTTTGCATAGCTCGAACTTGTTCCTTGGTACCACCTTGGTCAGCATATCTGCGGGATTCTCACTTGTAGAAATCTTCAAGACTTTTAGAGATTCATCATCTACCATTTCTCGAATCCAATGATATCTCACATCAATGTGTTTGGTCCTTGCATGGTACATAGAGTTCTTGCTAAGGTCTATTGCACTTTGACTGTCACAATAGACGACATACTCCTTCTGATGCAATCCAAGCTCTTGAAGGAATCGCTTGAGCCATATCATCTCCTTGCCAGTTTCTGTAGCGGCAATGTACTCTGCTTCAGTTGTTGAAAGTGCAACGCACTTCTGCAACTTAGACTGCCATGATATAGCTCCCCCTGAAAATGTAAACAAATATCCAGTAGTAGATTTTCTGTTGTCAATGTCACCTGCCATATCAGCATCTGTATAGCCCTTCAAGATTGGATCAGATCCTCCAAAGCACAAACAATCTCCCGTGGTACCTCTCAGGTACCTGAGTATCCACTTGACTGCTTCCCAATGTTCCTTTCCAGGATTTTCAAGAAACCTGCTGACAACACCAACTGCGTGAGCAATATCAGGTCTAGTACATACCATTGCATACATCAAGCTTCCGACTGCTGAAGAATAAGGAACTTTAGCCATGTTCCCTTTCTCCTCCACTGTTGTAGGACACATCTTCTTACTCAACTTTAGATGACCAGCAAGAGGTGTGCTGACTGGCTTAGCATTCTTCATGTTGAAGCGTTCTAGTACACGTTCAATGTACTTCTCCTGAGATAGCCACAACTTTCTACTTGTTCTCTCTCGAACTATCTTCATCCCTAGAATTTGTTGTGCTGGGCCCAAGTCCTTCATATCAAATGACTTGGACAGATCTCCTTTCAACTTTGCTATCAACCCCTTGTCTTTTCCTACAATTAACATGTCATCCACATACAACAACAATATAATAAAGTTATTCTCAGAAAATCTTTTGAAGTATACACATGGATCAGAATAGGTCTTTAGGTATGTTTGACTTTTCATGAATGAGTCAAACTTCATGTACCACTGCCTTGGTGCCTGCTTCAATCCATAAAGACTCTTATTCAATTTGCACACCATGTGTTTCTTTCCAGCTACTTCAAATCCTTCTGGTTGCTCCATATAAATCTCCTCTTCCAAATCTCCATGAAGAAATGCAGTTTTCACATCCAACTGCTCCACTTCAAGATCTAGGCTAGCTGCTAAGCTCAAAATTGTTCGAATAGAAGTCATTTTAACAACAGGTGAGAAAATTTCGTCAAAATCAATACCTTTCTTTTGTTCGAAGCCTTTAACCACCAATCGAGCTTTGTATCTGACCAGCTTGCCATTTCCATCTTTCTTGAGTTTAAAGACCCATTTGCATTTGAGTGGTCTTTTACCCTTTGGAAGTTCAACCAGCTTGTATGTGCCATTTTTCTGTAGAGATTCCATCTCTTCTTGCATAGCTTTCATCCACTGGTTCTTTTCTGGATGGGACAACACCTCCTTAAGACTTTCTGGCTCCCCCTCATCACTGATGAGGACATACTCTGTGGAAGGGTACCTGCATGACTCTACCCTTGGCCTCTCTGATCTCCTCAGAGGTTGAGGTTGTTCTTCTCCCTGAGTGGGGTGCTCCACTTCCTCGACACCTTCATCAAGTTGCTCCCCCTGCTCAATAACCTCACCAGGTTGCTCCCCCTGCTCGGCAACCTCGTCGGTCGTACTTTCTGCACTTGTGGGATTGTTAGAAGTAGAAGGAATAGTAACAAAGTTAGGAATTATACCATTCTTCGCCTTTTCTGACATATCAGCAGCAGTTCCAACTTCACTTTCTCGGAAGACTACATCTCTACTTCTGATGACCTTCTTCTTTACAGGATCCCACAGTCTGTACCCGAACTCTTCATCTCCATATCCGATAAATATGCAGGGAATAGATTTATCATCCAGCTTTGTTCTCTGCTCTTTTGGTACATGTGCAAAAGCTCTGCAACCGAACACCTTCAGATGCGAGTAGGACACCTCCTTGTTGGTCCAGACTCTCTCTGGGATTTCAAACGCCAACGGAACTGATGGACTCCTATTGATCAGGTAACAGGCTGTCTGAACTGCTTCACCCCAGAATGACTTAGGCAGTTTAGCCATTCTGAGCATGCTTCTCACCTTCTCCACAATGGTGCGGTTCATCCTCTCGGCTACGCCATTGTGCTGTGGGGTTCCAGGAACTGTCTTTTCATGTCTGATCCCATGACTTGAACAATACTCTTCAAATTCCCTTGAAGTGTACTCACCTCCATTGTCACTTCGGAGACGCTTTAGCTTTCGACCCGTCTCCCTTTCTACTAGAGCATGAAACTTCTGGAAAACTTGAAACACCTGATCTTTGGTTTTCAAAATATAAACCCATAATTTTCGTGAAGCATCATCAATAAAAGTAACAAAATATTTGTTACCGCCCATTGATTCAATTTCCATTGGGCCGCAAACATCAGAATATACTAAATCAAGTATATTCAATTTTCTTTCAGACGATGTCTGAAATGAGACTCTATGCTGCTTACCAAATAAACAGTAGTCACAAGGTTTTACCGTTGTACCTTTGGCATAAGAAATGAGTGATTTCTTGGCAAGAATCTGCAATCCCTTCTCGCTCATATGACCCATTCTTTTGTGCCACAAATCTACAGAAATCTCATCTTGTGCCGCGTTCAATTCACCTTGGCATATTTCTGCATTTGTCCTGTACAACGTGCCACGAGCAACTCCCTTTGCAATCACCAATGATCCCTTAGTGAGTCTCCACTTTTGATTTGCAAAATAGCTCTCGTATCCATCTCGGTCTAAAGCAATTCCCGAGATCAAGTTCATCCGTAAATCAGGTACATGCCGCACATCCTTTAGAACCAATGTGCATCCGACATTTGTCTTGATACAAATGTCACCAATCCCCGCAATCTTTGAGTAACTTGTGTTACCCATTTTCACTGTGCCGAAATCACCTGCTACATATCTGCAAAAAAGATCTCTTACCGGTGTGGCATGGTGAGATGCCGCTGTGTCAACCACCCATTCCGACTCTGGACCTGACAGGTGCATGCATTCCTCTTCCTCATTTATAAAGAGGACAACATTATCATTATTTTGCACCATGGCGGCTGTGTTGTCGTCATTCTTCTGGCCACTGGTTTCACCTTTGCCCTTCCTTGGATTTGGGCAATCTCTTTTGAAGTGACCTGGTTGATTACAGTTGTAGCAATTTCTGACTCTTGATTTGGATCGGTTCTTTGACTTCCCACGAGCTCCGGATCTACCATAGTTGTTCGAACTCCTTTGATAACTCCTGCCTCTACCTTCTGTGATGAGAGCCTGTCCTTGATTTTCAGGCTTCTTTCTCATCTTCTCATTGAGTAGAAGAGCCGATGTGACATCTTTCAACTCAATAGTAGTCTTACCGTGCAGGATGGTTGTTGCCAAATTATCGTACGAAGATGGCAACGAGTTCAATAGCAAGATGGCTTTATCTTCTTCCTCGATTTTCACTCCGAGGTTGGCAAGCTGTGTGATTAGTCCGTTAAACACATTTAAATGTGACAAAAAATTCGTACCTTCACTCATGTGTAGGGCGTATAACTGCTTCTTCAGGTACAATTTATTTGTCAGCGTTTTGGACATGTATAGGCTTTCCAACCTTGTCCAAATTCCACGTGCAGTGTCTTCATCAATGATGTTATTTACCACATCATCTGATAAGTGCAACCTGATTGCACTAGCAGCTCTTTCATCCAAGTCAGCCCAATCCTCAGCTTTCATGGTATCAGGCTTTTTGGAATCAACATCTAGAACCTTGTGTAATCCTTGTTGGATGAGCAGATCTCTCATCCTTCTTTGCCATGTTGAGAAACCGTTATCTCCGTTGAATTTTGCTACCTCGTACTTTACTCCGGACATTTTTATTTTTCACCAAGTATAGTACTACCGACAGTGAATAGTATTTCAGTGAACGAGCAGAACCTGTGCTCTGATACCAGTTGTTGGGAATAAACCCCTTACCAAAATAATATTCACGGTAATAAAGCGGAATAATAATGTAGCACCGAGATACGGTAATTAACAAGAATAAAAGAGTAACAATGACACCAAGATTTTTACGTGGAAAACCCTTCTGAATAAGGGAGAAAAAACCACGACCCCGAGAGGAGCAACTGATATCACTATAGTAAGGAATTTTACACTTTGTAGGTCGGAGATAAATACTCCAAAGACCACTACAACACTCAAAAGAAATAACCCTCTTTTGATATTCCCACCTCACTACAATATCGCTCACTCTCTATTTTCCTCACAGACTATTTTCTTATACCTTGTTTGTGAAACCTCACTCTTTCTTTCTCTCTTTGTTGGTGTGTAGAAATGAGAGTTGAAGCTCTCCTTTTATAGCCAAAGCTTCACTCTCTAAAGCCTACCATATTTGACAATTTACACACACTTTTCACAATTCAACAAAGTTGGCTACCAAACCAAAGAAATTCAACAAAGTTGGCTACCAAACCAAACTAATTCAACAAGGTTGGCTACCAACCAAACCAAGTCAACAAGGTTGGCTACCAAACCAAAAAAAACTTTTATTAGGCACATGTCTAATACTTCTTCAATGAGATGGACCTCATCAGAAAACTGTACAACACAATTGTTGAGATTGAAAAAATCAGTTTGAACAAGAAAAAATGGGACTATTTATATTTGAAGGTTGAATAGAATTTAACTATTGAAAATTGTCGTGATTGGTATTAAAAAGGTTGGATCTATCAAATTTGGATCAATTCTGAAACAAAATCGTATTAGTGAATTTTTTTTTGTGCAACTCCTAACGATTTTTTAGAACTGGTGGTAAGGCAAATTTTGCACATCATCAGAAACTCTGATGATCACCAAGGCCTTGTGAACAATTTAATTTGTTCGAAAATTATTTGTAATATGGTTACGAGGACTTGTGGCAAGGCAAGTCTTTGCCTATATATATATTCATCAAAAACTCCTAGTGATCCATCAGTATTTTGAATAATTTGTTATAAAATTACGACACAGTTTGTACTAGTGCGCTAGAACTATATATGGCAAGACAAGTCTTTGTCTATCCATCCCAATTTCTTCAAAATTTGCGACAAATTCTAATTAAATCACAAGTTATTTTTGCCAGCCTTATTTAAATAGGATTAAAACTTGAATAGCCTAGACCTAGTCGTACAAACTTGTGAATATTTAAATGCTAAGTAAGACAAACACCAGTATTATTAGTAGTATGATTTATCAAAAGAAATACAGTGGTCTCTATTTTGATTCACCATCTTTCTTTGGTGTAACAACATCTATCTTCCTCTTTAATTTATCTTTCAAGTAAGATGATGTTCCCTTCACTGTCACAAATCTTTTTCTAGAGCTATACTCACTTCTTCTACATAAGTGTAAATGGAAAAATAGTCAACTACGATGAAAACAATATATAGTCAAAAAAATGGGATTTGAACACGAATTTTTACACCACCTAAAATATAATTACAAATAATTTTTCCTAATAAATGAAATTATAACATGACACACAACAGGTTAATAATTTGATAGCGTAATTTTTTACATACAGTCAGTATATATAAATTAAATCAATTACTACAAAGGAAAAAGTCTTACCATCGATTTTCTTTATAATTCGCTTTGCTTTTTGAGCATTCCTGTCACATTGCAGCCGAATCTTCAATACCACCGTGTTAAATTGAGGCTAAACAACCAAAGAGAAAATAGCAGAAAGTTAGAAAAATTTCTAATAATCCAACAACAAATTAATTTATTTTATTGATAAAAAACTAAACAGTAATTACTGTAACTCCTGGCTTAATTAAATTATGATAAACAATATAAAGTGTACGTTAGAAGAAAAAAAAAAGTAAATTACCTCCTTGGGCTTTTTATCTTCCCCTTTCTTCTCCTCGGCCTTTTTCTCAACTTTGTCATCGGATTTTTTATCTCCGTCGTCGCCGCCGCCGCCACTGTCCTTTTTGGGTTGAGCAGAAATGAGCTCCACCTTTCTTTGTCTTGGTTTCAACCATTTCCCGGAGCCATAAGGGATCCACATTCCCTTTTACCGTCAATTTCCCACTGATGTAATCCGCCTTTACGTCTTCCACAGCTTCAGTTAAAAATAAATAAAACTAAAAATTAGCCCAAACCTTCATATAATTTGCTTGTATCAGATTAAGGACCTGTTTGTCCGTTTAACAAATTTTCTTTTTTAGAAATATGTTTGTCCATGAAATTTTGCAAGTTTTTGAAAAAAATTCGAAAATGAGTTTTTCAACAACTAAAAATTAGTTTTGACAACTTTTTCAAAAATTTTAAATTTTTTTTTTCAGGTCACAAAACTACAATATTTTTTCACTTCAAATGCATGACCAAACTCAATTTCAAATTTCAAATATCATTTTTCAATTTAATTCCAAATACTATTTTTTTTTTCAAAAGCACAATTTGTATGTCGAAACGCCTACTAAATAATGTACTATTATGTAGATAAATGATGTTTATTTAAATTAATTACCTTCAAATCGGCCAATTGAACGTTTGGCTTTTTTAGCACCGCCTTCACAATGCAAATCGAGTTTTAACAGGATGGTAGCGAGCCCATCGTCTAATTTTCCGCCGGCGTCACTGAAACCGCCGGTGGTCTTCTCTCCGAATTCATTCTTCTTTTCTACTAAAGGTCTTTGGTTATTTCTCTTCTCCGAAGGAATTGGAGAATTTGTAGAGGCTGAATTAAGGGAATACTAGAGTTCCTAATTTTCGTCATTGAAAGGAATCAATAGAATGGTTTGAAGAAGAAAATAGAGGCGGAGTGGACAATATATATAGACAATGAGTTAGTTTAGTTTCCTAATTAGTGTACTTATTTCAGGACAAGTATTTTAATAGGAAACCACCTCTTCCCACACACTATAAGAATATGAATAGGACTCTCTTTTTTCAGTTTTTCTTGTTGGAAGGGAGTGGGTAGGTGAGAAAGAAGAATGTATGAATTTGTATGTGATGATATGGATGTATGCAAGTGGGACGCATATGTATTAGGTCCCTTTCAGATTGTTATTTGTTGAGAAAGGGGTAACATAAGTGTAAATAGTAAGGGCGGAATAGTCTTTTCACCTCTCTTTAATTACCAGTAATTTAAGTTCCATTAGTTAGTTGATTAGTGAGTTAAATACCTAACTATATATATTGTAAATCCTTCAAATTTTCAGTTAGTATCAATGAATGAATTCATTTCATCTCTACGGTTTCTCTCTAATCTCTCTCTAGTTCATCCCTCATTCTCTTCTTCTTATCTCTAGGGTTCATACCCTGTTAATCCTCCGTTAATTTTATGGTATCAAAGCTTACGAGCTTGAGATTCTAGCTCGAATTATCGATCTATTCCGCAATTACAGAAAATCATTCATAGAATCTTGTGAATTCTTGTCAATGGAGAACAAACAAAGTTTGGACAATCAACAACATGCAATGGAACAATTGAATTATGCGGTTGGAAATTCTTCAATTGGAACTGGAAATCAACCAATTGGAGTTGACTATAATCATCCTCTGTTCTTGTCTCCAGCTGATGTGAGTGGTATACAAATCATCTCGTTTCAACTCACATGTATTGAGAATTACTCGATTTGGAATCGCTCTATGCGTGTTGCTTTGTTAGGCAGGAACAGGTTAGGATTAATTGATGGTACATGCAAGAAAGAAAAATTTTCAGAAATTCTATGGAATCGCTGGGAGAGAGTAAATGCAATTGTACTCTCATGGATTATGAATTCTATTTCTAAAAACCTTCTTGGTGGAATCATATATGCTTCGTGTGCCCAAATAGTCTGGGAAGATTTATCTGAGAGATTTAATAAGGTAGATGACTCAAGATCTTTTAATCTTCATAAAGAAATTACAACTCTGTCTCAAGGTACTGCATCTGTCTCTGTATACTTCTCAAGACTTAAGGATATGTGGGAAGAGTTTGAAGCCTTGGTGCCTGCACCAAGCTGTGATTGTACTAAATCTAAGGAGTTTGTTGTGTATCTTCAAAAACTTAAGTTGTATCAATTTTTAATGGGACTTAATGACTCGTATGCTCAGGCTAGAAGTCAGATTTTAATGAGTCAAGTTCCTACAGTTAATCAAGCATATGCTATGATAATTAGTGATGAAGGTCAAAAGTCAATAGCAGACACTACAAGAATTCTAGGAACTAATCCTGCAATGATGTCAGGAAATTTTGATGCAGTAATGTATTCAAGATCCATAGGAAATCAAAGGTTCAAGAAAAACTATAATGTTCCATGTGAGTTCTCTAAACTCAAGGGACATAGCAAAGAAAATTGTTACAAAATAGTGGGCTATCCACCTAATTATAGACCAAAAAAGAAAGGGGGAGCAGGAAATAATACATCCTACAATGTCATGTCTGACAATTCAATTCAAAGACATACAGTGATTTCAATGATGCAAGAGGTCCTTCACAGAATTTGAACATGAATACGAATCAAGCTTCTTCAACTACTGAGGACAAAGGGTCTGTAACTGGACTTAATTTCAATCAACTGAATCAAATGACATGATGCACATTCTCAAGAGAGCAATATGATCAAATTGTTCAACTCTTCAACAAAACAGGAGCTAGCCAGTCTTCCTGCACAATTTCAACTCCTGCAGCCAATACAACATGTATTAGTTGTGTTCGAACGGTTTCTAGTAGTCTACAAGAGTGGATAATAGATACAGGAGCCACAAATCATATGGTAGTTAATCTGAATATGCTAAATGAATCGACTATCCTTCAGTCTGAAAAACCAAAGAAGATATTCATGCCAAATGGAGATATTTCATATGTGACTCATACTGGTGCTAGCACTATATCAGAAGGAAACACAATTACTAATGTGTTTTATGTTCCATCATTTAAGTTCAATTTGTTATCAGTGTCTAGACTGACAAAGGAATTGCAATGCTCAACAACTTTCTTTCCTGATTTCTGTATATTTCAGGAACTCTTCAGTGGGAAGGTGAGGGTGATTGGTAGAGAAGATGATGGACTCTACATACTAGAAAGACAAGCTATTGGAACATCTTTAGCAGTAGCAACTGGAATAAAAGATGATGATCAGACCAACTCAACTACAACAAATGATATCGATCTATGGCACAGGAGGTTTGCTCATGCTTCAACTACAATCCTTAAAAAGTTGCTTCATAGTAGAACAGATCTTATAGTTGATATTGTAAAACAGTGTGTAGTTTGTCCTTGTGTTAAGCAGACAAGATTACCATTTTCTATTAGCGGTATTAAAACCGTAAGCAGGTTGATCTAGTACAAATATGGATCTATGGGGACCATATAAGACTCTCACATATGATGGTAATAAGTGCTTTTTAACACTAGTTGATGATTTTTCAAGGATGACTTGGGTATTATTGCTTAAACAGAAGTCTGAAGTATGTGTTTTATTACAACAATTTTTGATATTAGTCAAAACTCAGTTTGACAAGGTTGTTAGAGTTATCAGAACTAATAATGGTACTGAGTTTATAAACTCACTATGCAGTGAGATGTTAAAGAAACTTGGGATCATTCATCAAACTTCATGTGCCTATACTCCTCAGCAAAATGGAGTTTCTAAGAGAAAGTACAGACATATTCTAGAGATCACCAGGGCTATTAGGTTTCAAGCTGAAATACCAATAAGATTTTGGGGTCACTATGTAAATGCTGTTGTTTATCTTATAAATAGAGTTCCAAGTGTTGTCATCAACAACAAAACTCCCTATGAAAGACTACATCAGAAACCACCTTCCTATACTCATTTAAGGGTATTAGATTGCTTATGCTATGTAAAAATAGTTCAACAACATGACAAATTGTCATCAAGAACCAAATCTGCAGTCCATATGGAATATGCAGAAACTCAAAAAGGATATATATTGTATGATTTGAAGGATATGACCTTTTTTTTAATAGGGATGCAGTGTTTAGAGAAGATATTTTTCCTTCCAAGAAGAAAGAAGACTACTCAGTACCTATATTCCCAACCTCAACAACCTCTCATTTACAAGACATTCAATGTTCAGTACCTGAGTATATACAAGTACATAATCAGACATCAACACAAAATCCAAGTGGTACTGTGGAACCAGAACTTAACCATACTCTAGAAACTATACAAGACCCACCTCAAGTCTATGAATAAATTGGGAATCAAACTATAGGCAACTCATCTCAAGATTTTCAAAATATAGACACTGAGATGCCAGCTACAGAGCTTACACAAACCACAAATCCAGTAATTCAATCTGGATATAGAAGGTCTAATAGGGAAAAAAAGACCACCTATATGGCTAAGTGACTTTGTGTCACTTAATATTCATCAAGAGGTCCCATATTCTATATCAAACTACATTATTTATGAAGGACTGTCTCCAACTTATCAGGCATTCATTTCCACCTCTTCAAGTGTTACTGAGCCTACAACTTATTCAGAAGCAACCAAAGATCCTAGATGGATAGAAGCAATAAAAGCAGAAATTGATGCTTTACAAAGTAATCATATATGAGATATAGTTTCTCTTCCTGAAGGAAAAATACCAATAGGGTGTAAATGGATTTACAAAGTAAAGTACAAGCTACAGGTAAAATTGAGATGTTTAAAACCAGATTAGTAGCAAAGGGATACAATTAAAAAGAGGAAATTGATTACCAAAAAACTTTTTCTCCAGTAATTAAAATGAAGACAGTAAGAACAGTACTAGCAATTGCAGCAAGAAAAAAATGGCATATATACCAAATGGATGTGTATAATGCATTTCTTCAAGGAGATTTATATGATGAAATTTACATGGAGCTTTCACAAGGATTTAAGAGCCAAGGTGAGAAGAAATCAATATGCAGGCTCATAAAATCCTTGTATGGCCTAAAACAAGCCCCAAGACAATGGAATGTAAAATTGATTGAAGCTCTAATAAAGTCTGATTTCAAACAAAGTCAGTTTAATCACTCTTTGTTTATTAAGAAACATCTAAAGGTACTATCATGGTGTTGGTGTATGTTGATGACATGCTGATAACAGGTGACAGTTTGAGGTTGATTGAAGAAACAAAAAACAATCTGCATCAAGTTTTTAAAATGAAGGATCTAGGTGAGTTAAAGTATTTCTTAGGTATTCAGTTTGCAAGATCTAAACAAGGGATACTAATGCACCAAAGAAAATATGCACTAAAACTCATATCAGAACTTGGATTAAGTGCTACTAAACCTATTGTAACTCCCTTAGACACTAATGTTAAACTGACAACAAAAGATTATGATGATCACTCCAGTAATGTTAGTCAGTTAGTAGATGAACCTCTTGTTGATGTTAACTCATACCAAAGATTGATAGGTAGACTACTCTATCTAACAACGACCAGACCTGATATTTCTTTTAATGTTTAAATTCTTAGTCAGTTCTTACAACAACCTAAAATATCCCACATGGAGGCAGCTATGAGAGTTGTTAAATATGTCAAGAATCAACCTGGAAGAGGAATTCTATTACCAAGCTCAAACAACAACAATATCACAACCTACTATGATGCAGACTGGGCAGCATGTCCAATTTCCAGGAAATTGGTAATAGGGTACTTAATCAAGATTGGAGACTCCTTAGTTGCTTGGAAATCAAAGAAACAAACTATAGTGTCTAGGAGTACTGCAAAGGCTGAATACAGAAGTATTGCAGCCACAGTAGCTGAACTCATTTGGCTACAAGGACTAATGCAAGAAATTGGAATTGAAGTAATCTAATCTATTGAAGTATATAGTGATAGTAAGGCTGCTATGTAGATTGCAGCCAATCCTGTATATCATAAGAGAACCAAACATATTGAAATAGATTGCCATTTTATAAGAGAAAGAATAATGCAAGGTCTGATAGCAACAAAGTACATTCCTAGTAAAGATCAACTAGTAGATATTCTTACCAAGGGTCTCACCAGATTTCAACATGAACATCTAATCTCCAAGCTAGTAGTTCTCAATATTTTTGCACCTCCTAGCTTGAGAGGGAATGTTGAGAAAGGGGTAACATAAGTGTAAATAGTAAGGGCAGAATAGTCTTTTTACCTCTCTTTAATTACCGATAATTTGAGTTCCATTAGTTAGTTGATTATTGAGTTAATTACCTAACTATATATATTGTAAATCCTTCAGATTTTCAGTTAGTATCAATGAATGAATTCATTTTATCTCTATTGCTTCTCTCTCTAACCTCTCTCTAGTTCATCCCTCATTCTCTTCTTCTTATCTCTAGGGTTCATATCCTGTTAATCCTCCGTTAATTTCACACATAGTATTAATTAATTAAAAATATTTAAGTTTAAAAATTATGTGTTAATGCATGTCATAAATTTATTAATTTAATATATACACCATAAAAATTATTTCATAAGTTTGTTAATTTGGTACACACCGAGAGCAAATTCAATGACAAACAGCCTTTTTTATTTCTTCTTTCTTTTCGCACCCTTGTGGGCGCGCGGGTGGAAGAGGATGAAAAAGTAGGTAAATACTTACATGCATGGAATGTTACACCTAACTAAATAATTAATTTTAAGAATCAATAAAATAAAGTAAAAATGCATATCACTTAATCATGGTTAAGCATAAAAAAGTGTATATACAAAACATATGTCTTATATTTATTGGCTTAGTATAAATATATATCTTAAAGAGCATGATAGTTGTCGACTAATAATTAATAACAGAAACTCCCTTTGATTATTAGACGTTTTTTGGTAAATTAAATACATGTTTTAGAATATTTGATATTGTCGAAAAACAAAAAGTAATTCATTATCTCTTTCTAAAATCTGTTCTTATTTCCAATAGGGAAAATTTTATTTTGTGTCTCATACAACTGACACTAGTTGTATGGGGCAACTTTTTTGTCTCACAGTTTTGTGGACCCAGAAGTGTAAGATTGGGGTCCACAAATTTGTGAGACAAAAAGGAGTCTCGTACAACTAGTGTAAGATGTATAAGACACAAAATAAAACTCCTCATCCAATTAGTAGAGTGTTTAAGAGAAATATAAAGTATAGTATAAACAAATACTCTTTTATTTAAGGTTATTAACTATATTTTTAAGAGGTATATAAAAATCTTAAAAGACATATAATATAAACTAAGATAGTATTAGTTTTAGTCTTTATAAGATGTGATCAAGTATAATTACTTTCTAGTAAAATTAGTCGCTTTTGGTCCATAAACTCTTTAACTAGCATAAACAGTTGCTAGTTACACACATATTCTTTTCCATCGTTACGACTTAATATAGTATGTTACATGAATGATTATTTGAAAATCCAGTATATCTGTTAATATGTGTTAGAAACAAACCAAAAATATACTATTCGTAATTGGAGGTTAAAATATATGAAACAAGTTCAAATTTTCCCCGGAACTATCGACTATCATTCCCTCTGTCGACTTTTCCAACAAAACATAGATGCATCTTTTGTTATCCTCTGATATTGTACATGTTCGTCTTCAACTCCGTAAGTGAAACTTCCATTGACATTAATATGTAATTTGACACGTAGATCATGACGTGTGGAATTACAGAACAAGAGACCCTAAAATACTCATATAGGCACGTACCAATTAATGAATCATGACCTGTAGAGGAGCCGATACCTACGGTAACAAGAACTAAAATGACATACTGAAAAAGAAGTTTGAGTACACTGTACACATGTGACTTACATAAGTTTGAGTATACATGTTGTTTAACCAAAAAGTTTTAGACCCTTTTTGTTAAACCAATTTAATAAATAGATAAAGGGTGAATCCTAGTTAAACTTAATAAATCCTAGATCTAAAGTTCAATAATTTTGATGGTACTGGACCGTGTTCAAGTCAATGAATGCCAAGTTAATGCTCAATGACTATCAATAAATATGAGAATAAATACATGCAATAAATGTGATAAATGGCATTAAATATAATAAGAAGGAATTTGTTACCCAAATGTTGAATAAGATGGATGATTCCTTCTTCTAACAATAGCATGCGACAACTGACTATGGAAATCAACAAAGTGTTCTTGGATCTTGTGAATAAAAGAGGAATGCTGAGTAATGGAATCAAACAGAGGAGACAAGACAAGCTTTTTGTATATTCTTGGTAGTCAATCCTTTACAAGATGTTTTCTCCTATAAGTCCAGTAGTCAATCCTTTTTGCTCCCTCTTTCTTCCTATTTATAGGGGATATTCCTAGAAAGCCCTAAAATTTTACAATTGGGGGAATATTCCTATTCATAATCCTAAGAATATTTTAACTGTTGCTGTTGTTTGTTCTCTACTCGACCTTGGCATTGATCTCTCTCTCTGAGCGACTCCTCGCCACTGGGTCGTACTTGGCTTCGACCTCGGTATCAGCTCGTTCGTTTGCATTCACTAAACTCGACCTAATTTTGACTCATACAGTTAGTCCCTCCGCTTATTGAGGTCGTCCTCTTGGGAGTCCTCGATGAGCGGATTTTATCTGCATCTAATCACAAGAAATTCAGCCGTGGTGAACGAGATGACTTGATCGATGTCGGATTGATGACGAATTGACTCAAAGGTTGTGGTTGGCGTAGCTGACATAGGGTGATGTCGTGGCCACGCACGTCATCATTACGCATATTCCCGATGCGATGCTTTGTTTATAGTGCCTCTGTTGCTTCGATTTGGTGTCAATGACAATTTCTTGCATCGATTTGGGCGCCACAATATCCTATAAATAGAGGAAGGGGGATTCAAAAATGGAACTTTTAGCACTTCATATTCCACTTGCATTTTGCTTGTTCTTCTGCTTCTTCTCTAACCCTTGTCTCTGATGTCCTTCTGCTTTTTAGCTCTAGCTTCGGGTTTCTTTTCCCGTTAATACTCTCTTTCCGGCTTTACTGTATACACGTTACTGCATAAATGACAAACTCCCCTCACACTTCTAACATAGTCTTTGATGCCACCCCATTGTCGGTGGCCATGCCTTCCGGTGGCGATGAACCCACGGTTGCGGAAGACGAAAGTTTTTCTACTGTGGAGAAGGTTGTTCCCCGGAACCCGTCGGTTAGAAATGACTTCCCAAAAAAGCCCGCCCCGGCTCCTGAGCAGGTACTATATGTTATAGGGTCGAAACAAATATCTGCCCTACGGTCTAAATTTCGTATCCCTACTCACATCGATATTGTTCCAGCGGGGAACGACGCGATACAAGTCCACCGGCCTGGATATTGTGCTTTCTACGCCTACCCGTTTTTGGTGGGTTACTCTCTTCCTCTTCCCCCACTAGCTGAGGAGTTCTGCCGTTTTTATGGTGTCTGCCCGACACAGCTTTCCCCTTACTTATATAAAGTCTTTTTGATGTTGGCGAAGTTTACAGAGTTGACCGGTTGCGAAGTCTCCATCCGTCATCTGTTGCATCTATTCTCGACTAGTTGCTACAGAGTCATGCTGATTCATCTCCACCACCGTGGGACTAAAGGATTGGTGACGGGGATGGATGACAAAGCGAATCGCCGGTTCTGGTGCAGTTACTTCTTCGTTAGGATCGAGCACGTACTGGCGGACCCAGCCAGGTTCCCCGAGCAGTGGAACTTCAACCGTAAAGGTCTTTTACCATCTGTCATGTATTTTTTTTATCCCCCCTTTTTTGCTTCTAACTTGCTCGTGTTTTTCCACTTTCAGCTGATAGGTTCCACCTTCCCTGGTTTTTAACATTGAAGACTGGGTAACTAGAGTCTTACCTCATATTGTGGGAATTCGCGACTGGGCGTCATTTAATAAGCGGTTCAGGTCCAAGCCTTCGACTAGTAAGTCTGATTCTCACTTCCACGACCCTTTCCTCTTCGTTATAGCTTATCACCGACTTGTCATTTTTTAACATGATTATCTTTTTGTGCCAGGTCGGCGAGCTTCTAAGAAGGAAATGGCTCTGGTGCCCACATTCACCAGGCGGTCGTTTCGGTTGGAATGCAATTCATACTGGCTGAGTCCGTATGAGAGGGTCAAACTCTAGCTCCATCGTTGGGCGATTCCGCCCCACAAGCGGCCGTTACATCGGCTGAGACCTCTGATTATTCCGTCTTGCACCTAATTGACGAGTCGTCTCATAACGAGGAGGAGGCAATACCGAGGAAAAGGCAGAGGGTGGAGACCAGAAAGGTCGGTGTTGCTGATGCTGAGCCGGAAAGACCCATTATTTTGGATGCAGAGGCGACACCCTCATTGGGCATTGAGGCTTCTCCTGCATCGACTATCGTCACAGAGGAAAGGCTGTCAGAGGTTGAAGGGACCTACGACAAAGGGGATCCTTCACAAACAGCCAGGGTAGGCTTATCATTAGCAGACGGGAGGTATAAAACCGTCCTCGTAGAAGATGATAGATCGGGCTTCGATATCGACCCTGAGGAGGTGCGGAATTTCGAAGAGAGGTTCACCCGAGTAGAGATAAGGATGGAGGGGCCTAATCGTCACATAGTCATCCCCGTAGATTATAACCTCTTGGCCAACTCAGAACGGGCGGTGTCGGCTTTCGCTCTTCTATGTGCGGACTCTGAGAATAGGATGCTGCAAACGTTGAAGGATGCAGATCTGTCGTTGGGTATATCTGGTATGGCCTAACGAGTAAGCTCATTTTTCCCATGTTAAGTTAGTTCATTTTGTATGTGTAGTTTACTTCCGCTGACCTGTCTTCTTTTGCGTGTCAGACCCTTATTATGGAGATTGAGCGTGATCGGCGGGAAGAGCGAAGAACGGCTCTCTTCAAGAAGATGGTATCCAAGTACAAAGAGTACCGTTCTAAGCACCGAACGCTAGTCAACTTACTTAGCGAGGACGACCAGTTTCAGACACTACGTGATGGGCTCAAGTAGAAGGATAAGGAGCTGAGGGAGAAGGACGAGGAGCTTATGAGGGTCATCGATAGATGCAACGTGCTTAAGGGGGCGTTGTGTCACGACCCAAACTGAAGGGCCGCGACGTGTGCTCAAGCCCTACCTGTCGAACACCCCTAAGCATGCGTCTAATCTATAAACTTGATTAATATCTGCTGAATTACGAGAATAACATACATGAAGGAAATCTATCCAAAAGACATATATACGTATACGTACGAATTATAGTGGGCGAGCCGACAAGGCCACGATAGGCAACTATATACCCAAACTGGAAGCCGACAAGACCACATACTATCCAACTGTACATAACTGTCTATAGACCTCTAATAGAAATATAACTGTACAAAGGTGGGACTGAGCCACATCATACCCATATATATACAAACATATCGTACCAAAATCAAAATCAGCTCCGGATCAAGTGGAGCACGCCAACTCTCGCTGATCAAGGATCCTAAGAAGGAGGACCGTCAGCTTGCCTACCTGCACCTGCGGGCATGAAACGCATGCCCCGTGAAATACGGCATCTGTATGAAAAATGTACTGAGTATGTAAGGCATGAAAATCATTACGTAAAAGACATAGATGAGACATGGAATAAAGAAATTCATCTGTAAATCTGAATAACTTTGTAAATTCTGAAACATTTATAATATCATGCACGTGCATATAAATGTCATGTCATGCATGGGTATAAGTGTACATAATATCATCAAGCCTCTGAGGGCATCCCATCATATCGTCTCCGCCACTGTGGGCAACATCATCAACATATACCAACTGATCAGGTGGTGGTGCGTATATAACACCGTAACCTTTTTTCCATATCCCATATACATAAATATATACATATAAATACGTGTATATAACGCCGTCTGGTCATGGATCAATGTATATACATAAATGAATAAAATGCATGAAAATATGTTAAAAATCTCAATATTCTTTTCGGATAAGATTTATCAACTGCATATTATTTTGAGACCCATGAACAGAAGATATAATAATATGTCACATGGAGAATCAAGAACACAGAGACCCCTAATATTTCTATGAATAGAGTCGTTTATAAAAATTGTGCATTTGCTTGTTTCTTCTATATAACTTGGACCATGCCAAAAAGAAAGAAGGGATGACCTTAACATAGCTGAAGTAGGAAAAACTCCGTATAATATTTTCGGAGAAGATTACACAATATTCCTTTAGAACCGCAAAATTTTATGTTGCTACGATTCTAACAATTCCCGTTGCTGCAGGAATATCGTTGGAGCTTTTGTGGTTTGAATAGCTTCTGTTCTTGAAGTTTTTGGACTAGGAAGATAATATATGTGTTTCTTGCTTAAATGAGATGGGACAGAACGTTTTTGTTCTTTGCTCAAATGGAATGGAACAAGTCTCTTAATAAGTTTTTACTTATTAATTTAAATGAATCTTAGGTAGCCACCTAGGATTGTATGTCTAAGAGTCATTCTTAGTCTTGTAGATTTGTGCCATGTTTTTTTTTGGGTGGGTAATTTATTAATAATTATCTACTAAATTTATTAATTAACTAGGTAATATCCCGTTATCCGGTAACTAACCAATTACCCGCATAATTAAGAATTATCTTAAATTACCTAAAAGTACTACTCATTTTTAGTATACTTTATACATCATAATATCACAGTCATATGGTACCTTGGATGGTACTAGTCCATAAATATCGGGTATTATCGCTCGACCCGTATTTTATCCCAAATTGGCAACCTTCAACGAAACTTAATTTTTTTAATTTGTATACTCTTTATCCTTCATGACACTTACTTATAGCTTGTCATAAATAGCATAAATACGTTAACCTCAAGATAATCTCATCCCTGAGTCTACGTCAATTAATTGAAGACAAAAATTTTAACGTACGAAAACGTGAGATGTAATACATTGAGGGTTAAGGAGGATGGGCTCGAGGTGAGCAAGGGAGTGGTGGCCGAGAATACTGACCTTCAAACGCAAGTGGTGTCTTTAAGGGTCGAGCTTGAGCAGAGCGAAACAAGGGACGTCAACTTGAGGGGTGAGTTGAGCACCAGGGTCGAAGAGTTGGGCTGAGCTGAGAAAGCCATAATGACCGATGTGGTAGAGGCGGCAACCGTAGGGGCACCCTCCGTGTTTGCAGGTCTAAGCGAGCTACTGAGGCGGAAACTTCGGCTCTCAAGGAGACAAGGTTTGAGGAGCGGATCGGGTGTTTGGAGGCGGAGCTGTCTGAGCTGAATGAGCAGGTTGCTGCCCTAAGAGCCGAGAAGGCGCAACAACTGGCTCAACCATCTACTTCTCATACTTTTGTCGATCCTGGTGTGTCACGAGAGTTGTATGAAATGTGGGTTCATGTTGAGGCCCAACTTGACATATATAGGTCTTTGAAGACGGTTGGAAAGATTTTCGAGGCAGAATTTGAGGATGTTCGTGTCAAGGCACGTGCAGCTTGTGACACCTGTGGTTATAATCCTGGTACGCCCTGCGGGGATGATGATGAAGTCGCCATAGATGGGCTTTCCTCGACCCTTGGTACGACGATGAGTATGACAGTGACATCGGTGATGAGGGGGCGATGCGGTGTGAAGTCTTTGTACTTGGTTTCTATTTTTTGTGTTTTGTGGTTTTTTTTGTGGGGCCGTCTTTCAAGCCCTTTTATAAAATGTA